AGAGTTTTTGAGTTACATTCATAAACACAAATGGAGTTTTCTTTCTAAAGAACGTCTTCCTCATAGATACAAGTGGTAGGTTTGGGATGAATACATCTGCATCCTGGAATCATTTTCTCATCAGTTTTCTCATTTAGTTATTATTTAAAAGATACATATTAATTATATTGAACTATTAATAGGTTGACACAAGTATTTTTTCAGTTTTAGAAATTCTCTAGCCCCCCCCCCAAAAATTGACAAATTTCATTGCTTTCAGGGTTAAAAATAAAGAGAATATGGATAAATTGTTAGCCATAGGTATTTTCATTGTGAATGAATCAGTTGAGATCGGATACTAGTAGAGAATTGAAGATTTCTAAAATGCAAACATATTTGTGAGCTCACAAGTTTAATTCTATCAGCCAGTGGTCATGAAACTAATGATCAGTGATAAAAATGAAAACTTTTAGCCAAAGAAGCAATAAGCTCTGCTTGAAATATGTAGAGAGAATAATTGGTGAATCTGTTTTTCTTTGCTCTGTACATAAGTTTTAATCTTCATATTTGTTCATTAGGTGTATAAAATGTATACATAACACTTAATCATATTTTTTGAGAGCAATACACTAGAGTTATGGGCAATAGATGACTGATATCAGTAGTGGGTTTAGGGCTGGGAGAACCAGGCACTTGTTGGAGAAGTAACATGGTTAACAGAAGTCAATGCATAGAAATTTGTGGGTACAGAGGAAGTGGAGAGAAGGCAATCCCTGAAGTCCAGATGAGGAGGGTCATGAATCCAGGAAGCCAGAGGTTGGGTTAAGGTGATAGGTTCCAAACCCAGACAGATAAGTTTGGGTGAGAACCCTATGAAATATCCCCAATCCAAAGATAAAGTTGGTCATTGTGGTATGAATAGTAAGAGAAGGACATTTCCTGTAGACCAGAGCTTCTCAACCTCTGCTCCGTCAACATCCGTAGCTGGATAATTCTTTGTTGTGGGGGACTGTCATATACACTGTAGGTTATGTTTAGCAGCATCTCTGGCCTCCACCCTTTCCCAGTGGAAACCAGAAATACCCCAAAATGTCCTCTGAAGAGCAAAATCACCCCTACTTGAGAACCATTGCAGTAAACAAATTGCAGGCTTCCCTAAAGGAAGGAGTGGGCTTGGCCATGATATCTCTCAAGTTTCCAACATCAGGATTCCTTGATACAGTTCCAAAACCATAAATTTGACATTGTTATTAGGAGGAAAATTAATATTCTTAAATTCTCTATTAGGACTTAAACGCTAATAAAAAATTGACTTCCGTATTCCAAATCAATGAAAACGACACACAGTAAATTCTACACACTAAAAAACCTTTTATGTTAAGAACAAAGCAATATTTGACTTGAATCATACAAATATTACTTGCTGTAGGCCATGTACTGGTGAATTATAACTGTAAATTATTTGCAACCAAAGTGTATGGCAATACCATAAAGCTGCCACACTAGACTTCCAAATGGTACATCTGGAAGGAAAAAGTCAAATGTGCTTTGCTCACAGCAAGATATAAAACTACTGGAAAAAATAGTTGTTGCTGGTTTCTTTCCTTTGAGTTTCCTACTTGCATTTTCATGACGGGTCTGGTTAGGGGCTAAGTTGTGTCCCCCCAAAAATATATATGTTGAGGTCCTAAATACCTCAGAATGTGACCATATTTGGAGATAGGATCTTTAAATAGATAATTAAGTGAAAATGAGGTCATTAGGGTGGGCCCTAATCTAATATGACTGATTTCCTTATAAGAAGAGGTAGTTAGGACACAGACAGAACGAAGACCTCATAAAGACACAGAGAGAACATGGTCATCTACAAGTCAACAAAAGAGACCTCAAAAGAAATCAACCCTGTTGACATCTAGATTCTGGATTTGTAGCCTCCAAAATTGTGGGAAAATAAATTTCAGTTGTTTGAGCCATCTAATATGTGGTACTTTGTTACAGCAGCCCTAACAAACTAATACAGGCATTTCTCCATCTTCCCCTGTGGTCATGCTGTAAGGTGTTTGACTTTCTGGTGACTACTTTCCTGCTCACTTGCAGGTGACTGGATGATTTTGAGATCTATGAGAAAGATATCAATTTGACTTATATCAGAAAATATTGCATGAAGACATTTACAGATATTAGACAAAAGAGAAGCATGGCAGCTTTGAAAAATGATGGGCAGCAGTTGAAATTAGGAATAAGACTTTCTCAATGCTTCAAATGCATTTTAGAAATTGAATCCATAGTTCTCTGAAGATGCTCTGAGGAAACTAACCTATTATCACTTGTGCAATGACAGATGCCATTCTCAATTTTAAAATATAGCTTCATTGCTTCCTAGCAGTATGCCTCATTTTTCTCAAGTATGCATTTTTTACTATATCTTAAATGTGGGGTTAATATAGTGCCCATTTTCTCAGAATTATCATGAAGATTAACCGATTTAACCCGCATATCTGGCTGATAGAAAGCAATCTGTAAATGTTAGCTATTACTCCTATCATTATATTAGGTAGTAGTTATGGATGTGTTATATTTTTAATATGATCTCTTCTAGTCTAACTTGTATTGTTTTTTCATACATTTGTCTCAGATTCCTAATTATGAAATTTAAAGACATGAGATTAAAATATCCCCAAATGCAGATATTTGGTTTAATATAAAAATAACCTTTTCCCTTTAAATGATTATCATTATTGCATTTGGAAAGGGTTAAGAAGACTAATTAGAAATACTCTGAAAAAGTCAGTCTAGGGAAAATATATGGCAAGTTAGAAAAAAATATATTCTAATTAAAGATGGTATGGTTATAAATTAACCGTAAATTCAAATCGTGGACAGATAGTATATATCATTTATATTAGCAGTCACATATTCCATTAGAAGTTACCTTTATTTCATATCTCATAATTACAATTTGCAAATGGCTGTTGCCTTAGCATTGCAGAAAGACTCAACAATTTTGGAGGATTTTGACATTTAGTTTAAAAATGTACTTATTATTATAAATATGCACTGGAAATAACTTCATGAATCTGCCATGATTCAAAGCATTGATATGAAACTGAGGATTTTATTATTATTTCACTCACTCAAGTAGTAAAATACATTTTGGATTTATTCAGAATAGCAATTTTCAAACAATAATTTATTTACATTGTTATTAATATACTCTAAACCACTAAAACTGTCCCATTTTTAAAAATTGTAGTATGACTTTGGTTTTGCATCATTGAAAATACCTGCTGATGGATAGATTTGTTATAATATCAATGAATCATACTTATGCAATTATTTTTTATCTTATGTTAGAGCGAAATTAAGTTTTCATCTTAGAAGACATGGAAAATGAAAATTATATTATCATTTGTAAACATCTCAACGGGTCCAAAATTTATAAAATCTAATAAAATATACTGTGATATTGACAAGGCATGAGAAGATTTGCATTGCACACCATGGCAAGTCACATTTTGTACATAAATGAACACATTCTCTTAATAATACTTAAAAATATAGAAATGCAGGCACAAATAGCTTTCTGTGGTTACATAGGGAATAAAGAGAGAGGATGAAACAAAGAGATTGAAACAAAAAATAAGCCATCAGATTATGTGGAGAAGAATTTACTAAATTCAACTCTTACCAGCAGCTACCTAGTAAATAATTATTCAGTGTTTTACAGTCTGTAAAACAGAGTGTTTGAAAAAAATGAAGAAAGGTGTAAAAAGGAAAAGAAGAAGGAAAAGGAAAAAAGAAGGAAAAGGAGAAAAGAAAAGACCACAATCACAATTCTCTCCTTTGTTACTTGGGAGTCTTTCTAAATTTACATTGTGTTTCTGTTAGGAAAATATTGTAGTTAAAGTTCCAAATTAAACACACTCAGCAGATTTATCTTGCAATTATAAAATTAGAGAGAAGGACTTCAAATTACCCAGAAGATCTTTGTCCACTTGAAACATTAGCACAGAGCTGAATATCTCCAGCAGTTGTCTGTAGCTGTTTTACTCTGATCTGTAGGCAGGGTGTCCTCTCTATTGTGTAACTCCAATAGACCGCTTATGAGGGTGAATGTGTACCAGCACCCTTCACTAACTCCTTCCCACCTGCCAGAGTCACCAGTTACGTGAAAAGCCACTTCGAATGGACATGGAAACCTCAAAAGAAAGCTCTCTGAAAGGCAGGTACCATCAATGCTCACAGTTGCTTGAAATTTCCTGAAGGCCATTCTTTCCAAAGCTGAGGAAAGTTCTTTGGTCACTGTGACTTTAATAGCAACATAAAAATAACAATAATTTAACAATATTAAATAAGCCTCTGCCTTCACAGACTGGAAGAAGGACAGTGGGGGGAAACATTCAAATTAACCAGATCCAACTAATGGCCCATTCAGTCGATGTAAATCCATTATTCAAGGTTCTTTAATAGCTAACAGGTTTTACCTACATTTTGAAATAAGTGTGAAATAAGGTGAATGACTACCTTCCTCTGATTGCCCTAGAAAGTGCTGCTATTTTTGTTGTAATCTGAGCCCAGAAAATTGTGGGGGGGAAGGGGGTGGGGATAGAGGTGGAATGCAGGAACAGTTTGAATTCCAGCTACAAACATAAATGGGCTCCTCACAATTTCCCGCAAAGGTGTTAACGTGGTAGATATAGGCACAAGCCTGGATACAGAGGAAGAGCCTTTAGAAGTCAGTTGGTCAAGTCTCTCACTTCTGATGGGAGGAACTGAGACTCAAGAGATAAACTGACTTCCTCAAGACAACAGAAGGACCTCGTGGGACAGAGAGATCTAGGAACTAGATTTCCTGTCACCACCTTGAGCTCTTAAAAACTATGATACAAGTTGCCAGGGGTGACTGGTACCTGGAGATCACATTTGTGACGATCTTTAAGGTGTGAAATGAAACTGAAATATAAGTGATGCCTTTACTCTTTAAATCCTCAATTCCAAAGAAAATAAATTGCTTAACTCACCTACGGGGAAAAATTCGCTCATTTTCTTTTTGTAGATTTTGAAGTCGACTTCTAAGAAGACACAGAAGATGATCCGATCCACCTAGAGGCAAACAATAAACACTCAAAGTGAAAGAAAATATGATGACTGCCTTCCCAGAACATGGTCTTGGAACAAAACCAAACAGAAAAGCCTCCTACAGGTTTTTGATGCTATACTGCTAACTACATGGCAGCGCTGAAGTTCAAGTGTGTGTGTACTCTTTATGTAAATAAACTCATGGTGGAAAGATGTTATATAAATCAAATAAGAAATAATAAATGACAATAAGCCACTTTGCAGCAAGCTATAAATAAGATCTGAGATTCCGACAGGATACCTAGACTTTATGTCTTATAAAAGAGCCACATGAGAGGTGTACAGCATAACAATAAAGTATGTCAGTAAACAAAGTTCTTTGTCATACCCTTGTTAGATAGATATATTTATAAATCCTAATGGTATCTGAATACAGCCTGGAAAACTTGCAGTTCAATTTGCATGAAGTCAGTTGCTCTTAGCTTAACATACTCAGAAATGTGACAGAAATAAAATATAATTAATTGACAGTAATATGAGGTAAATATAACTTTAATCCGGTAGGTATTATGGAATAAATAAATGCTACCTCAAAAGCAAAATATGTGTGCAGTCTCTTTTTTACTGTTTTGAGAGAGTTTCTGCGTGCAAAGAGTTGTTCCAAGATATTCAGAGAGTAGTACGGTAAGCAGAAAAGAGAGATGGAACACACATAACAGCTCACATATATCTGATATTAAATCGGTAACTCAGTTTTGTGTCTTGAAAATAAATACCCTTTACTTCTTTTGTTTTAACAATATACAGTAAGTTAAGTTAAAAATTAATCAAACTGCACCTGGTAATCGAATAGAACCATCAAGTGAGACATTTCTTATGGCAGTAGAGAACGGAAGTGGGACACTTATGTGGCAGGACGTGAAATAACTCAAATGGACATCATCCACCTAGCCCCTCAGGAGCAGCCTGTGGGGTACAGATTCACACTAGCCAAGTCCAAAGTTCCTAGTAAGAGAGAAGATCTACAAGGGTAGCAGCGGAGAGAGGAAGGGCTAGGACACAGGAATTATCAGGGTTCCCTGATAGAGATTCAGAGATGTGGCTCCCTGGTCTCTGAAAAGCCTACACCCACATCTAGATAAACTACCCTCTGAGCAGTCTTTGGATTTCTACATGTAGGCCCGGTAACTGCCAACAGGATGGATTATAAGAGAAAGCACCTGCCCTTCAGAAATGGAAGAACTGGGATGTAAATAACCATATTTTCTTTTCTCTGTATTCACTTGAGTTTCTGGTGTCCAGTCCTGTTTGCATATCATTAACATTTTTTTTCAAATGCAAAAACTGCCACTATCAATTCACTCTCCAGGTGAATTATAAATTTAGTTGAATAAATGACTAATTATCTGTGCAATACTGAATGATCATCTCCACTTTCCTTACGATGTGTTTATGCCCTGTGGCTAAAAATAAAAATCATAATGTTGAACAATAGAAAAGAGTTCCAAAGGGATATATACTCTCTGATACCATTTATGTAAATTTTTAAAGCACAAAGATACAACAGTGTAGGGATTCATCCATAAGCACTAATATACAGAGACACATAGGAATGTCACACATGAACTTCAGGATGATTATGATTTATGGAAAGAGAGGGAAGGTAAAGGAATGAATAGGTAAGGCTTTAACTGAATAGTTAATATTTTATTTATTGAGAAAGAAAATAGATTTAAAATGGTTATTAACTATGGAGGTGGGTACATGGTTATGATATCATTTTCTATATATTTTTGTATATTTTAAACATTTCATAAAGTTTCTACCACTAAAAATAAAACTTTGTGTTAGACATACTCTACTCTCCAGCTGCACTGAACCACTTGTATTTTCCAAACACCATAATTATTGTCAGTTCTGTAACCTATGATGGTCGACATTTTTTCCAGGTTTCAAATGGTCGGATTAGTTCTAAAGCCACCTAATTGAAATCAAAATTAAAACAAGAAACTTTGGCTCAAAGCAGATCTAAGAAGACAAGTCTGGACAGTCTCATTTTAACTCTTTTTCCCTATTTTTATGGCCACTTAGGATAAATTAGGAAATTTTTAAAAACTCTCATATGGTGTGTGAGTGTGTTTGTGTTGGGGAGGGTATAGTGGTCATGCTGCTTACTGCTATTAAGTGCACTTTTAAACACCACACAGACTAAATAAACATTTCTTAAATATTGCAAAGAATTATAATCCACCTTTTAGTATTTTAGACTTTGTTACCATGGAAATAATATGGGTCCCAAATTCAGCAACCTGATTTATTTTCTCAGAGAGAAGCTGGACGATGAGAGGAAAGTACTTTTATTCTAAACTAATTAGGTGGCCTAGTTCCCTGCCCTTGCCCTCAGGCATAACACTGAAAATATCTTGGAAGCAAGAGGAAACCAAGAATTAACTTCATTTGCCAAGTACTTGTTATGTATGCATATGTGCGTGTATTTATATCAGTGTGAATAAACATATTCTCTGTTGGACAGACCTCATTTTGTTGACAAGCTCTGTGTTTACAAACTCATCATGGGTTTTGATCACCATTTACAAAGCAGTAGATTGCATTTTCCAAGATGGCTTGCAACGAGATACCCTGTCCTCAGGCTCCTCTTAAAATGTAATGCTAATAATACTTTCATTGAGAGGTGGGAATCTTTATTTCCTCCTCTTGAATCTAGGAGTGCCTATAACTCTGGCAAAATGATATGTGACCCCTGAGTCCACATCATAAAAGGTGATGTGATTTCTGCCTGGTCCTCTTGGAAGGCTCACTCTCATGCCCAATCATCATGCCTTAAGTAAGCAGAGAGACACATGGAGAATCCACATGTATTTCTAGCCAGTAGTCCTAGCTGCAAGTTGATTTAACTCCAGACTTTTGAGCTACCCCAAGCAATGCCACATGGAACAGAGATGAGTCATTGCTGCTGAACTGTGCCCAAACTGCAGATTTGTGAGCAAAACATAGAAATACATTCTTAGAAATCTGACATTTTTCTAGCTTCTTCCTATTGCCATTTTTTGGATTCTTGCTGTTTCAGCTATATGACACTGGACTCGTGTTGAAAAGCTCAGACTGAATGCATCAAGTAGAAGTCATGTGGGGTGACAAGAAGAATATAGAAAGTCTACTTGCTACACAACTGAAAGACAGGGAATCTGACTTGTGCAATGGAGGAAGAGCCTGAGTGATCCATTCTACCCCCAGATAAATTTCATAAAAATATCCAAGAATGCCTAAATATTGAGTCTCAGGAGAACGGTTTCAATGTTTCCTTTATGTTAAGCAATGGAACAATTTTGTAAAATGGTTGCTCTTGAGAGACAATGTTTATTCATTTATTCATTAGATATTAACTGAGCACTTTCAATTTGTCGGATTACTCCATGTTCCATTCTCTCACAAGGAAACTTGAATCTAGAATTGAGTTATTATTTTCCCAAGGCCAAACAATTAATTAGTGGCAAAATCTCAGGCATCTTCACTTCATATCCAGCATACTTTCTGTGATATCACCCAGATGGACACACATGGGATTGAGTTTATATACCTGTCATTAGCTCTGTGACATTGGATAAGTCATTATCTCTCTGGACCCCAGGTTTCATGTCTTTATAAAGAAAAGATTAAATTATACCCCCTTTCTACTTTTTTAAAATTCAGTTATAGTCTATTTCTATGGTAGTTGTACTATGTCAACTTAGTTAAGCTGGAATTACATTTCTCTGAATGGTTCTGGGTTAGGCTTGGTCACAGAGAAATTTCCATGAGCTTTGGAGGGCAGAAGTGCAGCTGCAGCCATTGTGCTAAGCAGGTGGGTGTAGGGCATCGGGATCGGGGCAGGTGATACACATATTGCTCATCAGTTGGCTCACAGCTTCTCCACCTCCTGCTGTTTCTCCTGCCTCAGATTCTCTGAATCCTGGGCTGAGCAGAGGTGTAGCTCTACTGCAAGGGTACCAACTTCTTCTTCAGGGCATTGCAGTTTTGGGATTCCAGCAATGAGAGACAGATGAATACAGCAGTTTGTCTCTGTGGGTTCCAGTTTGCCCTCATGGCTTCCACTTTGTCCTTTCTTGCTCTCTTCCATTTTGCATCCAGCTTTCTTGATGTGCCCCTTTATTACCTGCCCTGCTGACATACTCCAGGCCTGGTCAGATGCTGAGGCAAAGGCTTTCCATAGACTTCTTTACCAGCTCCCTCTCATGGGTCCTGGTTAGGGACTTTTCTCTGCTCAGCCAACCATCCCCTTGGGATATTTATTTCCTCAGTTTTCCCTAAAATTGTATAAAATCTAATCCCTATAACAAATCTTTTATTCTACATCACTCACAATGTTCTGCTTTCCTGATTAAACCCAGACTAATATAATCTTTAATATCATATCATTGAATATCATGTAGAGGAACACAGTGAAGGGCAAAAAATAATAACAGTCTTCCTTTTTTGGAAGTGTATAACCTGTCAGGATATGGAAATTTCAATTACTTCCTTCAAGATGAACTTTTTTTGGTCCTAGCCCAAATTCTTGTTGAACTCCCTAAAGTGTACATCCATTCTTTTGTAGTTAGAGCAACATTGTATACTTAAAATGATTCACTTTTTTTTTTTTTTATGAACAAGTTGTCAGTAAACTTAGATAAGTCCTCAGGCTAAAATGTAATTGCAATTAATGCAAAAGGCAACACAAAGAAATAACAACTGTAGTCCTCATTATACCTTAAACTGGAATCTTATGAAGAATTGAGTGGTGCTCATCTTTATCTCTAGTGCATGGTGTATGTCCTGACTCATAATATGAGCTCTGTAAATATTTGCAGAGTATATGTTTAGGCAAACAAACTTGGCTAAAATGTAAGTATATGGCAGATATTTTCAAAGGGTGTTTAGTTCTAGAACCAAACTTCTTTAGGAGGTAGAATTTTTGTTGTGTTTTCCAGAATATCTGAAAACTGAATTATAGAGGAGCCTGGGTGCTTTTGAAATGTATAAAAGAGCTATATAAAGGGCATGAGTCATTTATTCTTACCACCTGTCAGTTTATCCAATGATACTATGCTGAGTACAATGGCTTTCGAGCCCAGTCCTGATATTTTTATATAGGGTGCTTATTAGTTTCACAATAGAAACAATGATACCACCTGTAAACTAAAATGTGTTAAAAGTTTTAAAAGCTTTTTTTAAATAAAAAAATATTAAGTATTGGCAAGGATGTGAATTATCAAAAACTTTCATATTCTGCTTTTAGAAGTAAAAATTGGTGCAACCACTTTGGAAAATTATATGGCAGTGTCTACTAAATTAGTTGAATTTGCACATAATCTAGGACCCAGCAATTTTACTCCTAGATAGAGACATGTACTGTGTACCTACGATCACAAAAAGATACATACCACAATGTCCGTAGTACTATTGTAACATCTCCAAATTGGAAGCTAATTAAATGCCTAAAATAATAGGCTAGGTAAATAAATCATCATCTATTGGTACAAGAATCAAGAAAAAAGTACATACTGGATTTCTAAAAAGTTCAAACATTAGAGAAATAGGCAAAATCACCTAGGTGTCAGAAGTTAGTATAGCAATTACTCTGGGGTGAATTGGTGAAAAGGGAACAAAGGGGATGCCAGGGATGCTGTTTTTTTTGATCTAAGTGCTGGCTCCACGAATGTGTTCAGTTTGTAAAAAATGATCAAGCAGTGACTTAGGATCTGTGTTCTTTTCTGTATGTTAAACTTCAATAAAAATTCGTTTTAGGTTGAAAATCTTCTGTCGCAGTTGTCTTGGTCAACAACAAAAATCTATTTTCATTGACTTATAGGTCAAAAAAGTTCTTTAAAAGCTGACCTTCTAAAGTCAATCTCTCCATATATTTCACTGATGCCAACTGTAGCTTATCCATCAAAGCATAAAGGGGTAAAGATATATTTCCTTCACCAATATATCCATTAATCCACAGTTGGGAGGTTTATGCCCCATAAATATGATGATATTAGTTCTATTAACCTTAGTATCATATTCACTGCCCCTGAAGAGAGTTACACAATGAAGTAGGTTTGGAATATTTGCGGCCATCCTGCATTTTTTTTCACAGGCAATTAACATAACCAAGATTATTCTGTGTTCGGTGACACCGGGAGAATGAATGAATTCTGATAAACGTAATTTGCTTCTCTAATAACAAACAAAAACATTCAGAGATTTGGTGTGCATGCAAATACCGCTTTAACTAGGATGGATGGAGAGCCAGCCTGTTGGGCAACAGGGTGAAGTCACAGCCTTCCTGAAAGATGAACCAACAGCTTCACCAATGCACGCTTGGATATTGAGTTATTTTCATAAAACTGGTTGCTGCTAATAAATTAATTAAATTTCAGGGTTTAAGTATCAAAGTTGTAGAAATATAGGTTTTGTGAGAGGTGGAAAACCAGCACCATTGGAGTTTGCTTGGTGCCATGAGTAAATGGAGGTTAAATAGAGTAACAGAGAAAAGGTCACTAGTGATGGACTAAAGAACAAAAACAAAAAGCTGGGATGCCTGGCCACGAGTCCCTCCTCTGCCATAAAATGGAGCAAAGGAGAGAAACCTGCCCTTCTCCCACTGCATTAGTTCTCTGTTGCTGCACAACAAATTTACTGTCTTAAAAAGAACAAAGTTTTATTATCTCATAGTTTCCATAGGCGAAAAGTTAGGGACTAATGGAATTGAGCCCCTCTGCTCAGGATCTTCAAAGCTGCAGTCAAGGTGTTAGCAGCACTGCAGTTCTCACCTGGGCTTGGGGTCTTCTAAGCTCATTTAGGTTGTTGGCAATTTCTAGTTGTAGAAACAAGGTCCCCATTTTCTTTCTAACTGTCAACCAGAGACAGCTTTTAGCTTCTAGAGGCCACTTGTAATTCCTTGCCAGGGGGCTCTGAAAGGTAGCTCAGGACATGGATGCTTTCTTTTTTTCCAGGCCAGCAAGAGTGTATCTCTATGACTTTCACCATCTCTAACCTGTAGACTCCTTTTAAGAGCCCACCTAATTAGGTCAGCCCACCAGGACACTCTCTCTTTTAGTCAACTCAACTGATTAAATACCTTAATTACATCAATAAAAATCTCTTTTGCCCAACAGTTTAAGTGACTATCACCCCACCATATTCACAGGTGCCACTCTACTCAAGGGGAGAAAATAGACAAGGTATATACACAAAGGGGCGGGCGTCTGGGAGCATCTTAGACTCTTGCCTCCCATATCCAGTCATCTCCATGTAACCAGCCATCTAATCCAATCTGGACTTGACCACGTACCAGCTCTGTAACCTTGAGCAGGTCGCTTAAATTTTCTAAGCCTCAGTCTCCTCACCTTTAAAATGGAGACACTGACTTTGTAGGCTTTGGTAAATTTGTTTTCTATGGCTGTGTGACAAACTACCACAATTTTGTGGTTTAAAGCAACATTATTTATTAGCTCACAGTTGGTAGGTGACAGGTCTGGCATGGTGTAACTGGGTTCTCTGTTCAGGGTATTATAAGGGTGAAATCAAGGTGTCAGGTGGACTAAATTCTTGTCTAGATGCTGTGGAGAGAAACTGACCGCTAAGCTCATTCTTGTTGGCAGAATTTAATTCCTTGAAGTTGTAGGACTAAGGTCCCCATTTCCTTGTTGGCTGTAGCTAGGAGTCACTGTTAGCTCTTAGAGGCCACTTGCAAGACTTGCCAAATATCCACCTTCACCTTGAAGCCAGCAAACACATTTCAAATCCTTCTCAATTTTGAATCTCTGACTACTTCCACATCTGACCTCTAGGTCCAGATTTAAAGGACTCCTGTGATTAAGTCAGGCCCGCCTGGATAGTCTCTCTTATGTTAAGTTTAGCCGATTTGGGACCTTAATTACATCTGCAAAATCCTCTCACAGCAGTACCGCAGTACCTAAGTTATTGTTTGAAGAAATTGTAGAGGATATGCATCTCCCCTGCCTGGCTGTAATGACCACATGAAACATTCTATGTAAAGTGCTTGAAAAAGGATCTGACATACAGTAAATGCTCCATAAATATTGGTTGTTTAGTTTATAAGTTATTATTCATAAGGTACCCGAAGTACCTAGTATAGTGCTGGCATATAGATATAATTACTGTTCACTTGGTGAGTCCTTCATTTCTACCCTGGTCTTTTAAAACAGGTCAAAGAAAAATATGAGCCAGATAGAGAACACTGGAAGCACTTTTTCTGACTGGTATGCTGAGTGGCTATTTTATTGCCGTTTCAACATCGCTAAGGAATTCTATCGTAAAAAAGACATTTACAAAAATGGCCCATGTTACATATAAAGCAGCTTTCTTTTTCTGCTTGTTTGTTTGTTTGTTTGTTTGTTTGTTTTTTTGTCTGACCATATCAGTCAATGAAAGAAAGGAGAAAAAGGTAAACTAACAGTTGGGCTGCAACAATGAAAAAGATTTCACAAGATCTTACAGGAGTCTTTTTCTCTGATATTTTAATGTCCCTGTCAAATGTCACTAAACATCATTCTTCTGGTTCTTAAGTATGTTCAGATTTGTGCACTCCACCACAGAAGTTAATATTTCATTCTCTAGATTACAGAATAGGAAATTTTTTCTCTCCACATTCTCAGAGACGTTTGGATGAGTTGGAGATCATTTGTAATCCGTAAACACTAAAAGGGCATTTCTGCATCGTGAAATTGCTTCTGTATGCATAAAAAAGGATCTTTTATTTTGGGGGGCTTTTTGCAAACTCAGTTCGCCTGTCATTACTCCATGGAAGCACAATTCAGAGTCTTCTTGTTTTGTTTTGATAAATTGTTCTTTTTGACTTTTCTTCAACTCTATAAGAAAAAAAATAGTCATGTCTCTGAAGAACCAAGAGTTATTTTGATTTGATCTAGAGACTCATTCGTACAAGTTAATTCCCAAGCCTGTTTCATAACGATCAAAGTATACAACCTCACAAATGACACATCCATCGAGGTCCCTGAAGTTGTTCCAAATGTCTAGCAAGAAGAGACGCAGGCACACACAAAGACTTGAGATCTGCAGTTCTAAATGCTAGCATGGCAACCATAACCTGCCATGCCCTTGTAACCA